ACGCAAGGGAGAATGAGTTCTTAATCAGCCATGAATGTACAAAAAATGCTAACGCTGAGAACTTTCCGGACAACCTAGTAATAATCGCAATCAAACTTTGCTGGTCACTCAATCATCAGTTAAGAAAAAGAACTCAAAAATTGGAAATCTCAGAAATCCTGTGAATTACTCCTCAATTCAGCAATAGTAGAAAAAGATTTCGAGCGCAAATGGACGGAGTCTGGAATCTTTCAAAGTATTCCCATTTATTGATGAATAATTAGTCCTTTGAATCGGTTGCCAGCTGAAAAGGCTAGGATAATAACTTTATTCGTCACAAAAGAATGAGGGAACGGAATGAGGGAGCACTAGAATTCCATGGAAACCTTGAATGTAGTTCTTTTATACTTGAAGTATTCATACATAAAAAGCTTGACGAATTGCAACCTTCAGAGGAGCTGCTTTGCTCCTGCTCGGTTCATTGCGTCGATTTCACGTCGAAGCAATGAAACCTCCAATTTTTCCCCTAGCAAACTGCTACTTGAATTGGAAAATACAAAAATTAGTAGATGGAAGGGAGAGGGGCTGTTGAGACGGGATCGCATGTGTATGTATATATAGCATGTGGGCCAATCCAATATGTGTGCCGAGCGAAAGTGCAAGTAAATGATGAAAACCTAAAGAAATTGAAAAATTGCTATAAATAAATACTTGAGGAGAGTGGGTGGAACTGAACGTGGCAGTTGGAAAGCAGTAAACAGACGCTTCGCAAAATATTTTATCACTTTTCGGTGAATCTTCAGTGGTTTGTGGTTATTATGCGGCTTAATTAAAGGGGTAAAAACCATGAAGACCAGTACCGAGTACCATTTAGCTAGGCGATTATGAATGAAGATAAAATGTGCGGCTCAACCCGAAGGAACTGATCGTCCTTGAGCATGGTTAGCTACCTTCTGCCAGGTAATTTCATGGAACAGGAGACTTTTCCAACTTATTCTCGAAGAAGTTGGAAGTCTCCGGGCCGGTTCCTCCTATGAGTGCGCCCTCGCAGGTGCTAAACTGGTTGCCAGCTGTGGCTTCGCTATCCACCGAACAAATGAACAAATCGGATTTCTTTTTTATTTTTTGACAGTTTATTTGTGTGTTGTTACTTTGTTTTACTAGTCCGGGATTGCCTATCACATGTTTAGCGTTCCACCATTGTTTCGACTGAATCTGCTAGGAACAGAAGAATTTTTTGTGTTCCCTAGATTTTCTGCCTTTTTCGAAACCTTTCATCCAGTCCGATATACTTTCACCCCGAAGCCCAGCCTTGGCAAGACTTGACGCTTTTGAAGCAGTTTTTCGGGATGTGTGAAACAGGCAGCGAGAGTGCTTTGTGCCCCTTCAATCGTATTGGTTTGCTTCGGTTTTTGGCCGCCATCAGACAGTTTTGCACCCGCCGCGCTTACGAGCGCTGGACCTGAAAGTGTCCTACGGCGTCGGGGCCTGTGGCGTTTTGCAGACAATTCTTGCTGCAGACGTGGGATGTGGTCTCGTGTCTGAGGAGGATTCCCGGTTCTTTAAGTGGAGCAGTAAAAGGTAACCAATGCCTCTCTTGAAATTCAGTCATTATGTTGGTTATCTTCGTTTGATTCTGCCCTTTACACTTCGGGAGGAAGGGCAAGAGAATCGTAAACTGCCGCTTCGTCGCGCGCGGCAACGGGCGCGACGTTTCCTTAAGTTGCACTATCCTTTCGATTGGAGTATCGAATTTCATGTGGACAAAGACATGGTAGGCACTTATGTCTATTTTTTCGTACATTGCGTATATGCTATCCCAATACCACCTAAATCGGCCCAATTAAGGGTGCGAGTCGCACACGAGCCTCGACGCGGCGCGAAATACGATCTCTAGGCCACATACCAGGGCAATGTAGTGGGATGCCGGTGTTAAGCCCGGGCCGTGGGGGGGGTGGTGAACGCCGCGCCATCTAATACCGCACCGCGGGAGGGGAGACGCGGCGCCAACTATACCAATTCCAGCTTGTAGAGCAACAAATGTCTGGAGCAACGCAGTTATCACAAGAATGCAGAGTTGTGTGCAAAAGTCGTACCCCAGGCCGGAATCGAACCCGTACCTCACGCTTTCCGGGCGAGTGCGCTATCCGTTACGCCACCAAAGCCGCTTTTACCTTCTCGCACGCGACGTCTACTGGCGCGGCGAATTACGAGTGTCTTGCCACATATCCTTACACTTCCATTACCTTCAGGAAATCGTTTTTGTTGGCAGGAGTGCAGTGGCGAGTTGCCACCATACGTCCAGCAGATCGAATCCCGGATCTGATCTACGGCTGTGACAACGTTCCAACTAAAGTAGCTTGATATTTGCCTTGAGAAGGACAAAAGCGCTAAAATAGGCAGGCTTGTCACTAAAAGTCCCAGAGCTCAGGACAACTGCATCTAAATAAAGGTATGATTTCGAGAACACGGTCTTCTAGGACTAATCAGGACTGACCGAGTGCTTTATCCTTTTTGTAATTGCTTCATCCATTTTGTAAGGAGTGTCGCAAGAAGTGTCGCAACCGGTACCAGCTAATTCCGAGATTCTCGAAGTTTGTCGTAATGCGAGATCCTCTGACGTTTCGGTAACAAATGCGCATTTAAGCTGGGGCTAATGGGCGAATGCGTGGCGTATTGGAATGAACAACTCATATTCTTCATACACACTAGGTGTTGCAGCTTGTGGAGCTCTGGATCACAGCTCATTTGAGTTTGATGAGGGTAATGGGTGTATCTGAGCATCAATGCCTCACTCGCTAATCCTTTGAGCTGAAACGCTCCGAAGTGCGTTCATGCGAACGGACGTGAGCAGAGATTGCCCATCAACTCGAGCATCTCAAGAATTGCCATGGAAAATCGGGAGCGAAGATGAAAATGTTACCGAAATTGGAATAAGAAATTGCGAACTTTCTTTTACGCACTCGAATGGAAGAAAAGGGATTAAGGATGAACCTTTCAGGGTTGATCAAACCATTCATGGGTCGGGAGTGAAAAGGAGCAAGCATTACTTTTCCTATAATATCGTTGTAGTATTGTGAATGCCATTGTCCACTGGATATGCTTTCGCTATCGATGCGTCATGTGGAGGCGTTTCAGCGTACGTACGTTTTGGCGCGGCGCCAACTCGTTTCCATCAATCGTTGCCACCATGAGGGGACTAGCCATTGACGGAAATAATCTGAGGCCGCCCCAAAACGTATGCTGGGTGCTTCTAGCGACGCCCTGCCTCAGGAGCCTTCTATAAACAGTGTATGGGCAGTCAATGTACAAGTGAGGGCGATTGTGGAGGTTCTTTTCCTTCCCTCCATTATGATTCCAGAGAGAGGCGCTGAACACCCGCTGTGTGGGGGCACGTGCGAAAGGGTCTTTTCAAAGGTCCATCCCGGGCCTCTAGGGAACTTCATGGAATACTCTATCTCAATTGATGATCGTTTTTTAGAAGTTGTTAGATAATTTCAGTCACATCACGATGCTTTACTGTGGACCTCGTGGCAAGGTACGCCATCGTTGTGGATCAATCCAAGGGGGATCTTATTTCAGCCGCGAGGGAGGGGCGAGGTCGTAGTTAGTCAGGAAAAAAATTTTTTTGATAGTTGATGCTCTTTTGTTTCACGACGCAAAGGGCGGCGGGTGTCGTACTTAAGTCATTTTGGGAGCGGGGTCGTTTGCCCCCCCCCCGCTCAACAGCAAAACGTTTGGGAAAGAAGAAGTACTCTGCCCCCCCCCCCCGCCGCTCACGGCTCGCCTCATTTAGATGAGGAAGGACAAGGCTGGAGGAGGGGTTCGTCCCAACTCCAAAGGGGGGCGGGTCGTATTTCAGATGGAATTGGGGCTTAATTTTAATAAAATATCGCAACGCGGATGGCGTGCTCTGCCTGGTAGCACGGGAGCGCCTTGAAGGATTTGATTCGAGATTGATCCCCAACACGCGCTGCGACTTCTCCTGCTCTCGCCTAACCTCACCACCGTGCCATTACCACTGCGTCATTCTCGCTCTGTCAGCTTGAATAAAATCAGCCTAAATAGAAACCATGTTTATTTCACATAGAGCACTCTATAAGGGATCTTTTTTCAGATCTACTGATTTGGTAATATTTCTCAGATGAAAATCTGATGGAGGCCCGTTTTGCACTTCACCACATGAAACTGCGGGTAAGGGTAAAGTGCCACGTAAGCGAACTGTTGGTCCCAACAGCACTACCTTTCGCTAGGGAAAATTTTTAGAACATCCACTCACCTCCCCCACCCCC